GAGCAAGCGCTGAATTGCAGCATGAGGTGTTTCAGCAATAAAGAGGTGCTAAGCGATGTTAGGGTGTTTCAGGGTTGTTGTTGTTTTTTAAAGGTAAAACAAGGCTCTAACAAAATGAAAGTAGGTGGCACTTTGGAAACTTTTTAAAGATTCATTTCACTGCAGAAGGTGCCGCCGAGTTTTGCTTTCAGGGAAGCCTCGGGTCCGTGGCCCGTCGCGTCCCCCCACCCCATCTGACGGGTTTCCAGCGCCCAAGGCAGAAAACCGCTCCCCCTTCCCAGCTCGGCCCCTGGTGAGACTATCGGAGGGGCGGAGAGCGGCGCGGGGGTTCCTTCCTGCCTTTCACCACCGCGAATTTTTAGGTCTCCGCTCCCTCACGCCTCACGGGCAGCCTTCGCGCTTCCTCCTCGGCTTCGGGCGGCTAGGTGCCCCGTAGGAAACCGAAGCAGGGCTTTTGGTTTTCATTGAAAGCGGCCGTTCTGTGAGATGGTGTGTTTCCCCCGCCCCCGCCAAAACTGGGACCGCAGAGGGAAGTGGAGCCTTCCTTTCTCTGCTCACAGTCCTGAAGAGAATCTCTCTTTCCCCCCCCTTCAACACTCCTGGCTTTATCTGGGGGAGGTCCGTGGTCCCCCCACCCTTTTCGGGAGAAGTCTTGCTCCTTCCTCCCTCGGCTGTGTTCCTGCCGGCGCGCCGCAGCTGTGCGTGGCAGGCCAACCTGCCCGGGAAGCGAAGTGCGTCACGAGAAACGGTGCCCGGGCTGCCGCGCTATCAGCTCACGAGGGCCTGCGAGAGGACTGGGTTTAAAAAAAACAAAACAAAACCCGAGGCCTTCGCCTGTGGAAAGAAGAGGGGGCCCCTTTCTCTGAGCAGCCGCCACGCTGAGAAAAATATGCTTCCCGCGTCTTGCCCGTGTGCGGGGGGAGAGGGCGGCAGGAAACGTCCCATGGCGCTTGAGGGAGGTGAACGGCAAGCAAGCTGCGCGCACTGGCCGTGAGCTGGCAAGATCAGGCCGGAGCGCAGCTCTCTGATTGTCTTTCACCATAATAAGCTGCCTTGTAGAGGGCTGGTTATGAAGGGGGCAATTCTGCATCTCTGGGGTACCTCCTGAAGGCCCCCAGAGATTGCTGTTGGAAGAGGGATCCTTTTTGTCTTATTTACGGCCCACGCCTCAGACGAGGCGGAGTCTTCATCCATTGTTAAAAACATTCAGGCGTTTTGCCTGTGAAACGTTGTCTTGGCTTAAACCCGCTGATGGGTTGACACATAAACCCATGTTTGGATTACAGTTTTCAGTAGTCCCCACCCACCACGATGACGGATGGTGGTTGGAGTTTATAGGAGCTGTGGTCCAAAAAGGAACTTTTCCTAGTTCTGCAGATAACATTGGCCTTGGAAATTAGCTAAAGCATCTGCATGGGCTCAGGGGTTGCCTAGGAACTCTGTGCCATTATTTAAGGAGAGGAGGTTTGGAAATGAAGGTAATTAAATCCATTGCCCATCAAGACAAGAAAAGCAGTGTAACCCAGTGTTTTCTGGTCATGGGCTGTAAGAATAATAACAAACTAATCTAATCTAAACAGTGTTTCCTCTGACTAGAAGTCAAGAGAGTCTGCCATTAGGCTCTCTCAACCTGCTGTCCTCCAGCTCCCATCAGTCTCAATCGTCCTGGCTCCTGGTCAGGGATGATAAAAAAGAAACGCTTGGAAAAGTTCCCTTTTGGACTACAGGTTCTAGATTCCTTCAGCCAGTCATTGTAGTCCAAAAAAGAAACTTCTCCCAGTTCTGGATGGGAGTTCTAGCCAAATGTAACTGGAGGGCACCAGCTTGGGGAAGCCCTATTCTCAGTCTCCATGAATTAAGAAGAATGGGGTAGGGCCTACATGGATTTACAGAGTGTAGTCTAGCAAGTGCCTGGTTAGGAGTAAGGAGAGAATCACAAAGTATGCCATGCTTATTTCACGTACTTCACAGTACAACCTAACTCGAGTGCGTGCTACATACGCTGATATGCTGTACTCATTTCTACAGAGGAAGGCTGGAATAAAAGTGAGAGACATTTATGAAAAACATTGTCTGACTTGGCTGCACCATTGATCAAAGCATGCAAAAACTGCAGCCTCATTCTTTTCTATGAAGCAAAAAAAAAATTAGAGCAGTTATTCTGGAACTGCATCAGAATGCCTGGTGAAAATTGTCTAGTACGTATCTCTTTCATCTGCCTCATAGGAGCAATTTTCCAAGGGCTGATATACTGAATATATCTTTGCTTTACCTTTCTATAAATGTGTCCAAGATAACTTGACAAAAAATAAAATGCATAAGAACAAATTTAGAACAACAGCTAAAAGAAATCTAGCTAAAAAACTAGCCGCTAAAATTAACCAGCCACAGTTAAAACACTTAAAATACAGGATTAAATGCCTGGACAATTCAAACTATATCTGCTGCTCAAAAAACATAGAGAAGGGACACCAGGTATACAGAAAAGGCATTGATCTCATGTCACCTTTTCTGTGAAGCCTTTCATTTAACCCCTTGGTTCTCAGCTACAATGAAATTAAAATGTTAGTTCATTTGTGTTGGAGGGATAAATGAGTGTTAAATAAGGAGCATGCATGCATGAAGCTGAACTTTCCTTTTTAACATTAAAATAAATGCATGGGGGTGGAGGCTTTAGATATCCTCCCAGGTGGGTTTTTTTGAGTTGCTAAACTGATGCCAGGGTTTAAAAAAAGGGGGGGAGTACCAGCAGATGTGTGTGTTTTTAAGCCTCCATATAGAGTCACATTTAAGAACAGGAAGGAAACAGTTGCTAGGGGAAAGCTTGATTCAGGTTAGCCTTGCTCTCCATGTAAGTGTGAAAAAGGAAGTAAGGTTTAGCTGCGTTTGATACAGCGGTCAGAATCCTGCTGGTAATTTTGCATGGGCATCAGTTTAATTGTAACAACTCATTGTTGTGAATGCCCACTAACTAATATGGAGCTGGTCACATTGGGACGTGCATGCCCAATTGCACAGTGATGTGCACCTAGTAATGTGATTGCCGGCTCAGTAGTTAGTCACAATTTACTAGTCCCACTTTACCACAAGGAATTCGGAAATTTAATTTATGCACACTGAAGCCACCAACAGGATTCTGGCCAGCATGTAGTTTAAACCCCAGACTAAACCATGAATTTCTTCATTGTGCAAAGAGTTATCTCTGCTCCACAGCATTGAATATACCAGAGATTCTCTGGATGTCAGTGGTGTGTAGAAATAATCTAGTTGGGTTGCTGGATCACTAAGAATTTGCTCCTTCCCATCTCAATTGCACTCCTGCAATTGTGATATGCATTTTTCTTTATCATCTTTAATCTTCTTTGTACATCACAGTGGCAAAATTTGAACTCAGTATTTGTACTCAGTGGCCAGAATCCAGTTGCTTAGAGTAGTAAATTGCACTAGAGCTGACCCATTGAATCATGAGTTGGTGAGCCGACTCTTCTGTAGGTCCCATTGGTTCAAATGAGCCTATTCTAACTGCAATTTACTATGCTAAAATAAATCACCATGAGAATAGGCCTGTTTTAATCAATGGAGTTTATGGAGGAGTTGGCTCATCATTGATTCAGTGGGCCTCCTGTAATGCAAATAGCTGTGAAAAGCAACATGATTTTGGACAGTGATACCATTTGCATGTTTACACTGACATTTAAAAAAAACCACTGTAAATGATAAATAAAATGGCTGAATAATAGCAGAATTCTTGTAAACATGTTAAGTCGTGTCCGACTCTTCGTGACCCCATGGACCAGAGCACGCCAGGCCCTCCTGTCTTCCATTGCCTCCTGGAGTTTGGTCAAATTCATGTTGGTAGCTTCGCTGACACTGTCCAACCATCTCATCCTCTGTCGTCCCCTTCTCCTCTTGTCTTCACACTTTCCTAACATCAGGGGCTTTTCCAGGGAGTCTTCTCTTCTCATGAGATGACCAAAGTATTGGAGCCTCAACTTCAGGATCTGTCCTTCCAGTGAGCCCTCAAGGTTGATTTCCTTCGGAATGGATAGGTTTGTTTTCCTTGCAGTCCAGGGGACTCTCAAGAGCCTCCTCCAGCACCACAATTCAAAAGCATCGATTCTTTAGCAGTCAGTCTTTGTGGTCCAGTCTTTATGGAAAATAAAATCTGTCACTGCCTCCATATCTTCCCCTTCTATTTGCCAGGAGGTGATGGGGCCAGTGGCTATGATCTTAGTTTTTTTTTATACAGTATTGAGCTTTTTTTTTTACTTTTTTTCCAGAACAAAAAGAATACAAAAGTGCAAAATACTTACTACACAATCTAAACTGCCGTGCACCTCATACCCACAGGCCCCCTTAGAACAATACTTTTAATACGATTTCCCTTTCCAAAATTGTATTGATTGTTTTTAGAGGCTTTCCCCTTTCCTTTCATTAATATAGATTCAACAAATCTACCACAAATAGCATAAAAATATTTGAACTTATTTCCCCTCTTTTCATCTTAAGTTCAGTAGTTAATTTATCATTTAATGCAATGTCCCATGCTTCATTTTACAGTGGTGCCTTGCTTGACGACGATAATCCGTTCCTTACAAATCGCTGTTAAGCGAAATCGTTGTCAAGCGAAAGTAAAAAACCCATTGAAATGCATTGAAAACCGGTCAATGCATTCCAATGGGTGAAATACCTCATTGTGCAGTGAAGATCCTCCATAGGGCAGCCATTTTCTGATGCCTGTAAAGTGAAGAATCTGTCCTGAACACAGCAGGGAGCCATTTTGCACAGTGGGGAGCCATTTTGAAACCCTGATGATCAACTGTTTTTGATCGTCGTTAAGCGAAAAAATAGGTTCCTGAAGCAGGGAACCGATCGTTGTCAAGCAGGGCACCACGGTACCACTCTTCTAATTTAATGTCATTTTTGTCTTTCCAAAATCTAGCTTTTAATATTCTAGCACTTGTCATAAAATTGGAAATCAATTCCTTCAAACAATAATCAAGTTCTATCTTATAAAAAATTGACAGCAAAGCAATTTTAGAATTGAATTCAGTATCTTTTCCACATATATCACATATTTCCTTAAAAATCAGTTTGCAAAATTTCTGAATCCGTTTACACTCCCGCCACATATGATACGTGGCAATTTCTTCCTCACATTTCCAACAAGCTGTAGAATAATCTGAATTTATTATATTCAATTTCACCGGAGTCATATACCATCTTAAACTGATTTTAATTTTTTCCCCTTTATTACCGACATTAATCTTAAAATCCTCGTCCTCCAAAATGTTTATCCAACCCTCTATTTTAATTTCTGTCTTTAAATCCTTTACCCAAATTGATTTCAAACCTTCTGTTTTTGTCTCTTTTTCCTCTTGTTCCAAAATTACGTTATACTGTATATTCTACTTATTACTCCCTTCGTCAAAGCATCTTTCTGCATATCTACATGTGATGATAGAAATTATTCGAACTTAGTGCATTCTGTACATTTGCCATTAATTTTCAGCCATTCATTTGTCCAACCATCTAATTGGATATAGTTATACCATGACAATCGATTAGTTTGAAGTTTAACTATAATCTGATCCTTCAATCTCATTTTAATCATCCAATCCTTCAGTCTAGCAACATTTTGTCCTTAAACAAATCAACTAAGTCCTTCAAGTTTGCTGGGAAGTTTTCTATTTCAGTCACTAATTTTTTAATGGTGAGGGATTGCTGCTTTGTTGTGGTGAAGGGGCTTGAGTAACTCAGAGAAGCTATGGGCTATGCCGTGCAGAGACACTAAAGATGGACAGGTCATAATGGAGAGTTCCAAGTAAAAACAATCCACCTGGAGTAGGAATTGGCAAGCCATTCCAGTATCTTTGCCAAGAGTACCCCATGAACAGAAACAAAAGGCTAAAAGATATGACTCTAGAAGATGGGCACCTCAGGTCGGAAGGCGTCCGACATGTTACTGAGGAAGAGTGGAGGACAAGGACAAGAAGCGTCAGATCTAATGAAGTGGTTGGGCCAAAGCCGAAAGGACTCTGAGCCGTGGACGTGCCTGGAAGTGAAAGGAAAGTCCGATGCTGCAAAGAAAAATACTGCATAGGAACCTGGAATGTAAGATCTATGAACCTTGGGAAGCTGGATGTGGTCAAACAGGAGATGGCAAGAATAAACATCAACATCCTGGGCATCAGTGAACTAAAATGGACAGGAATGCGTCAATACAATTCATATGATTATCATTATCTACTATTGTGGGCAAGAATCCCGTAGAAGGAATGGAGTAGCCCTCATAGTCAACAAAAGATGGGGGAAAGCTGTACTGGGATAGAATCTCAAAAATGATAGAATGATGTCAATACGAATCCAAGGCAGACCTTTCAACATCACAATAATCCAAGTTTATGCACCAGCCACCGATGCTGAGGAGACTAAAACTGACCAATTCTATGAAGACTTACAACACCTTTTAGAACTGACACCAAAGAAAGATGTCCTTCTCATTATTGGGGATTGGAATGCTAAAGTAGGGAGTCAAGAGATAAAAGGAACAACAGGAAAGTTTGGCCTTGGAGTTCAAAATGAAGCAGGGCAAAGGCTAATAGAGTTCTGTCCAGAGAACAGGCTGGTGATCACAAACACTCTTTTCTAACAACACAAATGACGACTCTACACATGAATATCACCAGATGGGCAATATCGAAATCTGATTATTTTCTCTGTAGCCAAAGATGGAGAAGCTCAATACAATCAGCAAAAACAAGACCTGGAGCTGATTGTGGCTCTGATCATCAGCTTCTCATAGCAAAATTCAAGCTTAAACTGAAGAGAGTAGGAAAAACCACTGGGCTAGTCAGGTATAATCTAAACCAAATCCCTTATGAATACACAGTGGAAGCGAAGAACAGATTTAAAGACCTAGATTTGGTGGACAGTGTCTGAAGAACTTTGGATAGAGACTTGTAACATTGTACAGGAGGCAGCAACAAAAACCATCCCAAAGAAAAAGCAAAGTGGCTGTCCAACGAGGTCTTACAAATAGCAGAGAAGGGAAGGGAAACAAAATGCAAGGGAGATAGGGAAAGTTACAGAAAATAGAATGCAGACTTCCAAGGAATAGCAAGGAGAGACAAGAGGGCCTTCTTAAATGAACAGTGCAAAGATATGCACCACTGTGTGTATACACTGCTGTGTATATTTTTGCTGACTGTATAGAGCTTCTCCATCTTTGGCTGCAGAGAACATAATCTGATTTCACTATTGCCCATCTGGTGATGTCCATGTGTAGAGTCTCCTCTTTCGTTGTTGGCAAAGAGTGTTTGTGATGACCAGCTTGTTCTCTTGACAAAACTCTATCAGCCTTTGCCCTGCTTCGTTTTGAACTCCAAGACCAAACTTGCCTGTTGTTCTTGCCATCTCCTGTTTGACCACATCCAGCTTCCCGAGGGTCATAGATCTTACATTCCAGGTTCCTATGCAATATTTTTCATTGCAGCATTGGGATTCTTGTCATGGTAGTACCCAGGTTAGTGTGGTGGGACATAAGATACAAAAGAATGAGAACAACCCGTGTATACAATGATTTATATTTATATATGTACACACAAAAATTGTCTAGCTTTTTTCCTGTTATGATTGTTGTACCTAACTGAAGTTCTTATGTGTTCATTTTATATCTGTGAAGTACTATACTAGTTATTATTTTTTCATTCTTTTAATATGACTGCTTTTAAGATTGTCTTGAAAATCCATACAGTTGAGAAGCCAGGACAGAAAGCTTTTAAATTCTTTTATATATGACAGTTAACTTCTTGTGTGTATAAGCTATGATCAACACATGGAATGGAGCCTGTCAGTAGAAAAGCCTAGCTGTTAAAAAAAGCAAAACAAAACTTGACTGTGTATGCTCAGTATACCTTTTGATTTACATCCGCACTCTCCAGCATTGACTTAAAAAGACATACAGACTAGAATTCTATTGTCCTATATGATTGTGTAAGGGCAGTTTCACAAGCGACTGTGACCTATTTTCCCAGCAGTCCATCTCCGTATTGTGTTTTCCCCTAGTTGTAGAATCAATCATGCGTTTGGGTGCTGTCCGTATAGAGCAGACAGCTCAGAAATGGAGGGTTTGGGGTCACGTCTGTGAAAGCCTTGCCTGGAAAAGTTGAACTGCTTTTTGGCCGCAGTTCACAGGTAGAACCGAGTTGTTTACAACATGAACCAGATTACAAATACGCATTACAGTATAAACAAGTTATTTCTTCTTAAACCGGCAGTTTGAAAACCTTAGTAGTATCTCTGTTCGATAAAAGATTCCTGCGTTTGCACAGTTAACCTGAACTATTTCTAAATGGTTCTAAAAATGGAATTTGCTTGACATTGCTCAACGTTAAAACTGTTGCTGTAGCTTTCATTGTTGCTAATTGGTTGCATGATTGACAGCCATTTTAACAGGACATAACTGCCACTCGATGTGATGCACTTGACTACCTCCATTATAACAGCACAATAAGTACCCTCGAAAGTTTTGGGACTGTCGTGGTTAGATAAATTCAGTTGCTAATTGCGAGGGAGTATGCTTAACATTAGAAATAGACAGGACGTGACAACTTGGAGCCTCTGTCTGGACAATCAAATACTTGTCAGAACCCTGAGTATACCAGACGACTCTTCTTTATACACTTTATATGTATTTTTATAGTAAATAGAAAAAGCTAAGCCATTGTAGCAAAACTGTTATATAAGGAACAAAACATGGTGAATTGTAAAAATCAGGTTAAATGCTTCTGTCTCCATATTTTGGCAAACTCTTTCCATGGTAGGCCTAAATGTTTATGCTTGAGACTGACTCTCAAATATTATAGAATAAATACAACATGGTCAAAGCACACAACCCAAAATATGCCTGGGAGACGCTTGTGGTAGATGAATGGGGTGGAAAGCTCTGGTATCTCGAATGCCATCACTGGGTGGGTCCTTTGCCGCTGACTAGCACCTGACTCAGGACCCCTTGCGAGAAGTTCAACAGATCTTGGCCTACACTGCACCTTTGGCGCGTAAAACCACAAGCTAAGTGGACTGGAGGTAGTTTTCTATTTTCTTGTGCGTACAGGAGGCACAATGACCAGCCCCAGCTTAACTGTAATGCAGAAATATCCTCTTCCTCAAACCAACATTGTAATGTTAATAATACTTGTATCATAAAGTACACTAAATGGATGCTAGCTATAGCTTAGTGGTAAGAGACCTGCTTCATGTCCATGAGGTTCTGCATTCGGGGCCTGGTGTCTCCAGATAAGGAATCTTGTTTAAAACCCTGCAGACCTGCAAGTTTGCTTCTTGTGGAATATATTGAGTTAAATGGACCTATAGGCAGGTTAGCATTAGGTTTAGGACATGCCGTATTCCATGACCTACATTAAAAGGAAGGTGCAACCTTGGGAGTGGTCTCCGAGTTAAAATCTCTCATTTAGCTGCGTTTCTGGGTATATACAGACAGATACAATGTCCTTCTTGTACCAGCCCAGACCAATTATTTGGGGAAATAGCCATTCATATCTTGTTTCACTGCTTTCTTCTACAGTTAAAGCTGGAGGGATGAGAGTTTCCAAGAAACTGGAGAATGTACCTGTTGAAAGAAGTTCCAAATTCTCTGGGAAGGAGAAGGCAAAGTATGTGCAGATCGACCCTCATTGTTAAGGCTGGGAATCTTCTTTTTTTAAACTGGTCACACAATGGAGTATAGCACACAAAAAACTGAATTCTCAACATTGCTTGCCTAAGGACTTTGGTGCCTATGACTGCAGATGAAGAAGATCTGAGAGAGAAGCACTGTGGGCAGGGTTAATACAAGTGACTACAAGAATAGAAAATGTCTGATGTATTAGATGCAGTGATTTGTAACAGGTTCTTGTATAGGAATTAAAGTGAAGGGCTGGAATAGTATGTAAAACAAGCTACAAATTGACGTGTTAGGAACATTTATAATGAATTGTAGGGTGGATTTAAATAAAAATGAATTTTAAAATTTAAATCATGATTTTAAATACTGTAATTTGATTGTTTTAAAAATCATTGATTTTTATCCACCCTTATGAGTTGCCTCGCCTATAGAAAGAAGGGTGTTTTTGCAGGAAGTTATTGCATCCCCACTTTGCCATTGAGGACTTACCAACACAATCTCTTGACATTAGAGTGCAAATTAGCCCATTTAATGCAGTTGCACAGGTGGGTCTCTTGGAGGAACATTGTTTTGGTGTGTAGCATGTCCGTTTAAAGCTTGAGAGTTTTAAAAGGAGGTCCCAGCTCCTTCACATGACAGTGAGCCTGTCATGATATTCTGGAGGAGTGGAGTTCAGACAAATATCATCATTGTCATTGTCATCTTAGAACGGCAGAGCTGGAAGGGACCCTATGGATCGAATTCATTCTTTTGTCAAGGAGGCACAGTGAGGGAACCTAGTGTTTTCACACACTCCACTCCGTTGTCTGCCACCTTCAGAAATGACATGCTGAGTCAACTCAAAGGTACACCTATCAGGGTAGGTGTAAGAGTAGCAGAGAACAAACTTGTGGGAAAGAAATTGGGTCTTGTGATGTGATAGAATAGCAGCAAAACAAAGCAGAGTGTAATCTGACATACTTTTAATTGTGTGCTTCTACAGTGGACCCTTGACTTACAGACGGCTTGACTTACAGACTTCTTGAGTTACAGACTTCTCTGGCCGCAAAATTTAGGTTTGACTTGCAGCCTGAGAATTGAATTACAGACCAGAAAAAACCCAAAATGGAACAAAAATGGCCTGTTAGAGGATTACAGTGGACCCTCTACTTAAGGAATTAATCCGTATTGGAATGGTGGCTGCAAGTCGAAAAGTCTGTAAGTCGAATCTCCATTGACCTACAATGCACTGAAAACCAATTAATCCCATAACCAGTGGTTTTTATTCTATTTTTATTCCATTTTGTTTTTTTTCTGGTCTGTAAGTCGATTCTCTGGCTGCAAGTCGAATCTAAATTTTGCAGCCAGAGAAGTCTGTAACTCGAAAAGTCTGTAAGTCGAGCCGTCTGTAAGTCGAGAGTCCACTACAATTCATTCTTTTGTCAAGGAGGCACAGTGAGGGAACCTAGTGTTTTCACACACTCCACTCCGTTGTCTGCCACCTTCAGAAATGACATGCTGAGTCAACTCAAAGGTATATCTATCAGGGCAGGTGTAAGAGTAAAAGAGAACAAACTTGTGGGAAAGAAATTGGGTCTTGTGATGTGATAGAATAGCAGCAAAACAAAGCAGAGTGCAATCTGACATACTTTTAACTGTGTGCTTCTAATTACTCTTGGAGAAAAGTTTTGTATCTCAAGGTTTCCTTTTTCTTTTCAGGGGCCATCCCCCATCTGCTCCAGGGAACAATACGGTCAGGTATGTTTTTTTTCTCCTTCATCACACATCCTCCCCCATTCAGCCATTAGGGACCAGGGTCATATTGCAGGTTGCTGCAGATTTCCTTTTGGTTGCCCCTTGCTTCTACATGGCTCAAGGTATTTCTGTAAGTCGAATCTCCATTGACCTACAATGCACTGAAAACCAATTAATCCCATAACCAGTGGTTTTTATTCTATTTTTATTCCATTTTGTTTTTTTTCTGGTCTGTAAGTCGATTCTCTGGCTGCAAGTCGAATCTAAATTTTGCAGCCAGAGAAGTCTGTAACTCGAAAAGTCTGTAAGTCGAGCCGTCTGTAAGTCGAGAGTCCACTACAATAGGTTTTCAATGCACTGTAGGTCAATGGAGACTTGACCTACAGACTTTTTGACCAATACGGATTAAGTTCTCAAGTCAAGACCCCACTGTAATTACTCTTGGAGAAAAGTTTCGTATCAAGGTTTCCTTTTTCTTTTCAGGGGCCATCCCCCATCTGCTCCAGGGAACAATACGGTCAGGTATGTTTTTTTTCTCCTTCATCACACATCCTCCCCCATTCAGCCATTAGGGACCAGGGTCATATTGCAGGTTGCTGCAGATTTCCTTTTGGTTGCCCCTTGCTTCTACATGGCTCAAGGTATTTAAAACAGAATAAGCAGTGGGAGTGAATGGAAACTTAGTTCTACTGTAAGTTCATAAATAAACAGAAAATCCTGCATTTGCAAAGGGCTTCAGGAAGAAGGTGTTGATGTGTTTATATTCTGTAAATCTAAGATTATTCCTTGTTAGAAAGTCAGGATTTTCCTGGGGTAATGTGCAAAGTGCATAATGATATGTCAGGGCTGTTCAAGAGTCTGACATGTGGGTACAGGACACAATGGATCTGCTCTGTAATCAACTTGTATATCAGAGAGAACCCACCTAGAAGGTGAGCTAATTTATTTCTGTTTGGGAAGGCACCTGGCGCACTGATTCAATGTATGACTTGTATTGTGGAGGTTCTGCATCTTGTGTTGCAAGCTGGCTTTTTGCTGTCCTTGTTCACTATTTTTTAGTCATTCATTGTGTTTTAATATTTCCTAGTTTTTCTGGACGATGCAGTTAATTTAAAGTTGCTCAGCAGGAGCTGTGTAAAGTGGGGGGGGGGGGGAATTTAGGGAGTTTCCTGCTTAGGGCAGCTGTAGAAACTCAGATAAAACCAAGGCCATGCCAAAACCCTTGAAATTTTTAGTCTTGTTCAGGAGTGGGGGAGGGCCGATGAGTTGATGGGGTGCATTCAGTAGGCAGGTTCAGAGAAAGAGTTGCCTGGAGAGTTGCTTTTTGATATGTAACTTATATTTTCCTTTTTGTTCAAGGCAACACACACACACACACACCCTCTTCCTTCAGTTCTCACAACACTGAAGTATGTCTAGATGGAAGCTCACCAAATGAGCCTGTAGGTTTCTTCTGAAGTAGATACTTCCCTGTAAATAAATCATAATCGGGACAAAATTGATAGAGTGTATTTTCTTCTTGTTTGCAAGGAAGTGCCTGAAAAGCTACAAATAAGTGTTGCGAAATTCTTTGGTTATCTAACAAATGCCTACAGTGCCAAAAAAAATAAACAATAAAAACCCTTCTATTTTTCTCCTCTGAGACAAATGTTCAATTATGGCAAAACCTTACACACAAAAATAACATTGTGGTCTTCCTCTTACTTTACAAACACTATTCCTGGAACTGGGCTAAGCCTGAGATCATTCATTTCCTCTGCACAAAACCTGTGAGAAAAAAAGGCCCATAAAACAATTTATTCCCATTAGGCAATAGCTATTAAAATGGGAAAACTATTTTAGGAAGTGCTGACTGAAACCTATCAGTAGATGAATTGTGCCTTCATTTTCTGGCTTCACAAGAGCTCTGGTGAGCAGCAACAAAAGGACCTGCTTATGCTATTAGTAGCTCTGTGAGAGCAATCCCAGAAGTCATTTCAGCCTCGATGTGTTTTGCTCAAGACAGTCAAACATCTTCACCTCAGGATTAGTTAACAGCAGATCACAATAGAGATGGGTGAGAAATAGGAATGGTGTGCCCATGAATGGCAGCAGACGTGTAGATCTGACTGTGTCTCACCCATGGCATAAATAAAGTGTTTTCCATAGAAGGGTTTCTTTGGGTGGCAGCTTCTGTTTCACAACTTGCTCAGTTTTCAGGCAGTTTTCCAATAACTTTGAGAAGTTATTCTTTAAAAAGTATTTTGTCCCTGTAGTGTTCAAAAAGCGATTAATGAAACAGGTACTTGCACTGCTTTTTATTTCTTTTCCCCTGATATGAATTCATTAAGGGATTGTATAATAAAATTTTAAAGTTTCTGCCAAGTTGATTGTTAAAATACCTTCTCAAGAGAACTTGAGAAAATTGTGCGCTATGCCAGTGAAGTGACCTCAGTCCCACTTACTGTTTTCTTTTTGTAATGCAACATCTTTACAATCTTGTTGCCAAAAACAGAAGATAATTGATTGCAGGGAAGTATATTTCTTGCTAGCTGCTACTTCCCACTACTGGTTTCATGGAACAGGAGAATCTCTGATCTTACCACTCTTATGATGTGTGCACTTTTGTGTCAACAGAAGCCAGCATTCTTGTCTTAGCAGGGTACCCTTCAGGTGTATGGGACAACAACTCCCAGCCAGCTTCCTCTGTGATAAGAGATGATGGAAGTTCTGACAGGCGCCATATTGGAGAGTGCTGGAATATGCAGTAAACTCTTCAGGAATAGTCATCTGCTATTAAAGGAGAGGCAACCTGATATTGAACATGAGACTGAACCTTGTTTCTTTGCTGACATTGGGGGAGGACTCTAGATCAAGCCATAGCTTGATTAAACTCTTGATTAAGAGAGAGATTAAACTCACTCTCTCATAGAGTCTCATTATTTACTACACAGAGTCTCGTTATTTAAAGAAGTATGCACACGCAGACAACACATTTTCCACATGCTGATTTATCATTCTTACCATATCCCAGGTAACATCCTTAGACCCTTAGAGGTGCACTCTACACAGACACTCCTGCCTTAGCTGATCAGCTTGGAATGGGAGCAGGGATGTTCATCCCCATTATGGTGGGCTGAGGTAGGAAGTTTAACCCTCCCTGTCCTCCATGTCAGAACGGGGATAAAGACCAAGATGGGGCACTACTTCAGCTGAGCTGAGCTGCAGAAGTCCCCTCTTGTACTTCCCGTCCTGGCTAGCTGTCAGGAATGAAAATTGTGGCTTCTGTGCAATTCAGCGAAGAGTGAAGTCCTGACCTTCAGTAAAGGCACTGGGCCCTAATAGCGATCCAGCAATGAGGTCCATTTTTGTCCCCATGTGGGTGCACTGTACTGAGAGATTAAAATATCTCTGCTCAGTGCTGATGCTTCCAGGTTCCCTGAGTGTCTGAAATGGAAGTGCCCAATAGAGCTGGCCTTATCACAGATGCTCATGAGTGGTAGCACAGGTCAGAGTGGCAGAAGCTATCAAGTCCTCTGAGTTCAATTTAAAAAAAACAAACCTCCATTTGGAAAGAAAATGCTGTTGTCACCAGAGGGAGGCGGGAAGAGAGAAATCATTAGAACTAATCAATACTAGAACTACAAACCAACCGAAATTGATACTTGTCATCAGCAGTGTGGCGTTGCAGTTCAGTAAACAGAAACCAAGCGTATAGGCACTAATAATTTAATGTCATTCTTAGATTTACACCTAAAGTAATTCAGAACAAAACTACCACATCCCTTGTAGGTTAAGGTTGTTGTCTGTCAGGGGAGGTTTATCAGTGAATCATACAAGCTGGAAGGAATCCCATGGTCATTGAGTCCAGCCTCTCGATGAAGCAGCAAATCCACAGGAAAACCATCCCTGGCAAGTAGCCCTCTAGACTGCTTTAAAAACCTCAGATGTAGAAAATTCCACCAGTCCATTCTGTTGTTCAGCATTCTTATTGTCAGAAAGCTCTTTCTAATGTTTAGGCAATATCTAATTTCTCAGAATGTTATTCTATGAAAAAATACCTCTTTAAATAGGAAGACCCGTATCTTGGATTAAATTTTACTTTCCTTTTCTGCTCCACAGTTCTGCTAGTATCCAAAAAATGCAGAGCATGGGTTTCTTGCTGGCAGACACACTGGAGAAAGTAAGTACATAAACAGATTTAAAAGTTGCCGCCAAGATTTCTCAAGGGCACAGTTGACTATTGAATGAGTCCTTCCAGAGAATGAGACATTATTGGTCTGTAGCAAGATGACCAAAAGATTCTCGTGGCATGCCTAACAGATCTGTTGTGGCAGGGTTGGGTGGACTGTTGCCTCTTTCATCAGATGAAGGACATGGTGTCTTAATTGATCTGATACATCAGTATATAAGGGACAGTTTAAGGCAGTTGATTGTGGAATGAAAGTCTTTTGACAGCTCCATACAAAAATTAGAGCCATAAATGACAAGAAGAGTGATTATTCTTAAAAGCAATAATGGGATTATAATTATTACCAGCTACATTTATTACAAACACTGCATGTATTTCTTTTATGTTTTACACAGAATTGCCACAAAATGTACCGTTTTCATTCCATGACCATTGAGCCCAAGCTTTCACCATGTGATGTGTGTGTGTATTTGTACCTACATGCACACAAGCACGTATCTTTTTATATATAGTCTGTTAACTGAGGGTAACGCTACATGAAGTGGGCTTGAGTCCATTAAAGTTTAGCCACAAATCGGTTGGCCTTTTGACAAGACCTGTTGATCTTATTAGTTCTAGAATGGGTGCTGAAAAGAAGTAAGGTGTGCATTGGGGGACAATCAAGAATTGACTCCCTTATATGTATTCTCGCTGTTTGGAGGAAGTCTTTACATAAAGAACATTTCTGATTTCCCTCTGCCAGAAAAGCTGTGGAATGCTGTTTGTCAGATGGCAGAGCACATGTTAGAACAGGAGTTGAATAATTTTGGCATAGCTTAAGCTGTACATTTTGACTTCTACAGAATATTTCCTACTCAGTACAAATAAATCAAAAGAATACCTGCGTGTAGCTCGTTGAAGCGTTAAGATTTTGCAGGAAAGGGTTAATGTGATTCTTGAATTTTAATTTTTCTTGCTTCAAATATCAAATCAAATCTCCTTTCCCATGTTTTTCCTCTGGCTCTCTTGTATCTATGGCAGTCCCAGAGGAAGTGTTTTTGATTCTATAATGAGGAACAGTTCAGAACAGCTCTTAAAGGCTGGTATTTTGGCAGTAACTGTTAACTGCTTTAGGCTTGGTTAGTGTCACAAATTACCCTGTAGTAACAAGGTCAACAAGGGGTAGAACTGAAGGGAACGGCTGCTATTTAAGTTATATTCAAGTTGCTGGCCTTAACAAGGGTAGGCTCATAAGTACACTTAAGAGTACCATTCCCAGAGAAGAGAAGGTATCTGATTCTGTAAAGCTGCTCCTGATTGCTCACAGCCCCCCAGTGAAATTGTGATTCATCTGTCTGCAAGCACAGGAAGGTGACAAAATCCAGAGGTGGTTGACAATGTATTACCTCATATTGCAGCCAGGAATCACATGTTTTATGTGGTCCCTTTGCAAATGATACAGGCACATTGCTGTTATGTGTACAGTAGGAAGGGCCATAACACACAGCTCTTGTGTCGGTTTTCTCCTTGCAAACAGATGTTCATTGCTATCTGTGCTGGATACAGTGGGTTTTTTGTAGTCAGACACATGGAGAGAGCCTTGTTGAGAAAGATTGAGTTTGTACATTTCCAGAGAAAACAACAGTTTGCAGCTCAGTGGGTGAAATGATAGCCATTCAATCCTTGTGAAGGAGCCGAGTTGTCTTCTCCCATGAAACTAACCACACACTTTCCTGATCACTCAAGTGCAATGTTAATTAGACTAGTCTGTTCTTTGATTATCCAGGGTGCAGTTGCCTGTTCCTTTCCTCCTTGCCCCTAATAATGACAATTATTGTTATTCTAATGACCATTATTAAGGTCCCAGTGCTGGAGCTTGAATAGAAAATACTTGGAAGCAAAATGAAATAGAGTGGTCAATCACAAGGCGGGACGAAGTTTTTTTGGTTTTATTTTGAAATAAAATGTAACACGGTTACATCATGGGACCTGATTATTGTTATTCTAATGACCATTATTAAGATCCCAGTGCTGGAGCTTGAGTAGAAAATACTTATGTAAAGGTAAAGGTTCCCCTTGACAATTTTTGTCCAGTCGTATACAGTATCTGTGCACCTGAAAGGCTAGAATATGGATAGCATAAAGGAACTGTAGAAACTTGGGGAGGGATTCCCCCACCTTGGGGGTGTAGGGCAGGAATTATTGCTACTTCTTCTTAGTTCTGATATGCCATCCCATTTGGCTGATAGTGTAACAAGGGAACGGATGCATGCTACAAAATGCTAGACTGCCAGTTGCATTCCTGCTCCGTTGTTCACCTTGGCCTTGGGTTACTAAGTGGCACTTAACATCCTTTGAGAGTGAACTGGGATCATAAAGGAAAAAAATATTGGCGAAGTGGGGGGGGGAGAATGTGCCTACTTGCATTGTTGTCTGCTGCTTCCTCCCCCATGCTTTTCAAAGGAACAAAATGTTCTCCGGGTGTGGGAGGTTTCTCTATTATTATTTTTTCAGTATTAAAATTCTGTTTACCAAGCTGTTTGCTTCTCACTCTGTCATTACCCGTGTTCTTTCTTCATGTGTCTTTATTATACTTAAGTTTAAGGTATCTAATAAAACTGCTGTGTTTTTCTTCAATGTTGTAGAACTGGTCAGAAATGGGGTACTAACTAATAAATAAACATCTCATGTCTAGTTGGTAATACTATTTATAATAGTTTATAATTCTGTGTGTTTTTCTGCAAAGATTTATATCTTTGTTTCTAACCTTTTAGCTTGCACATAAACTTCCACCGGCTGCCTCACAAGTAGCACATCAAAAGCCACGGCCTACCCTGGAGAAGATTATAATGCCCAAAAGAACGTACATTATTCAACAGCCTTGGAAATGCTAAAACGTGTAGAGTAAAATATTCATATATTTGACAGACACCTTCTTAACTAACAGTGCTTTGCTAAGCAAGCTGTGAATGGGCCAAATGGTTCTGACAGTTTCTGTTTTGTATTTCTCTTGCAATAAAAACTGCGTACATTTGTTGGGTTTTTTTTTCGCCACACCAAAAACATTTGTGTTTCGTATCTTATTGGACCATTAAAATTTTTGTTTTAACCATCCCAAACCAACTTATTACAGCTTGAATGGACAAACAATTTTTCTAAGCCCTATCCTTGGAGAAGTAGAGGTTTACTTTTGTCTTTATACCTCTGGAAAAAGAAAGTGACCACGACTTCTGTCCTTGAAAGCACCACATCTTTTGTCCCAAAATGTGTGAAAGAGCAGTCAGTGATCTGTTTGTTTTGCATTATATTAATTTTTGTCTGATGTATTTCTTGAGAGAACGCCTCAACATTGTTTAGTCAAAGGTTTTTCTGTTATAACCTGGAATACATGCAGTTGTTTTGAAATCCTTTTCCTTCTTTGTTATTTGAGATTTCAAAAGAGTTAGATAATAAAGAAAAGATCATGATAGATTCTGTTCTAAACCTTCTCTGTCAAGAGAATACCTATTTCCTGCATTTTTATGGCACTGTAAACCGTAAAATATGCAACATAGGAGGTATGATTATTCAGCCCAGTAGTTTCATCTCATACTGACTTGTACCAGGGCTGTCTTGTGAGGAATAGTTAACATGCAGCCATGGCAGGAGAGCCAGGGTGGTGTATGAGATAGGGTGTTGAAACAGGACTCAGGAGAGTTGGGTTCAGATTCCCACTCTGCCATGGAAACTCATTGGGAGTCACTATGGTAAAACCACTCTATTTCACATACCTTGAAAATCCTATTAGAATTGCCAGAAGTGAGAAAGAATTTGATGGTGTATGAGAACATGACATACAACAATGGTCCCCAACCTTGGGCCTCCAGATGTTCTTGGCCTTCAACTCCCAGAAATCCTGGCCAGCAGAGGTGGTGGTGAAGGTTTCTGGGAATTGTAGTCCAAGAACATCCGGAGGCCCAAGGTTGGGGACCACTGAATACAACCATAGCAGAACCTCAAGTCATGCAAAGAGTTATCAATGGAAGGTATAGCACACACTGGTGTGAAAATGAGGGCTTTTTATCCATCGTTCTTACCTTTGGCTGCTATTTTCCTGTTGGTTTAACATGCACACAAAGAACATTTACTAGATGCAGCTAATGTTTAATTGTGCCCCCTTGTCAATTTGCATATTATGGGCTGCTAAAATTAGCAGAAGCCTTCAGTTGCCCAGAGAGGAGTAAAACTGTATTGAACTACAAGGCCCAGAGTGATCACTCTTTGAGGTTTTTGTCCAAAAAGTAATTTTTTTTTTCATTTATGGGCATCTGTCCAAATTATTAATTTGTTAAACTCATTTTTCTCATTTCTGGGCCTCTGTCCAAATTATTAATTTCTTAAACTCAGTGACCGGACGAACTATGCTAATCCAAGGTACACCATTGGATTTCTTGATTTAGCATATATAGATGGCAAAAGTCACTATTTCACCTATACATCCAGAAGATTCCTGGGGGAATACATTGCTATTATAAAAATGCCAATTAGGTTCATGTTCCACATAACCTTGTGAATCTTTATTGCCTTTAGTTCCAATTACACACCTACCTACCTCCTGCCCCACTCTCCTACTCAAAGCCTACTACTTGCTTGAACAGTTTGCTCATGGTTCTACTTTTTATGTAATAATTGCCCTTCAAAGCTGTCTGTGCGTGGAGTGCCATCTCTCCTTTTAAAGTCCTTACAAAGCTCCCCCTCCCTTTCAGTCTAGCTTCCTGTTTAATTTATGGAACGTTGTCTCACCAGTCTCCAAATATATGCAACTGCGTTCACTCCCACCTATTTCTTACTATGTTTGCCTTTCCATTCCTTACTATTCCTTTAGAAGTTTACTCCCCAAATTGCCAGATGTGTATAGAATTATTATGGATGTCTGTGGGTTTAGTGCCTTTTAAAATCATTGTCAGCAGTCTCCATTTTGTCAGGTCCAAGAATGGTCTCTTTCTTGCTCATTCTTAGTTACATGCTGAAAACACAAAATCTGAATATTTTAGTAGGTGGTGTGCAGCCTTATCACATATCACACAATGTCACGTGAATATAAAATGCAAGTGCAATCATATGAACTAGTGCCCATCAGAATTCTGGAAAAGTCAGTTTTCAAGCAACCAAAATAGCACTTACTGACATGCAAGTGGGTGGCATCAGCATAAGAGTGGGGTGCGTTGCTCTCCTTTTTTTCCCTTCAGTATAATAATAATAATAATAAATATTGGGAAAAATAAAACCTGTGAAACCCCAAAGAACCTCTAAGTTAGAACAAAACATGAGTGCAGAATGCTGCTAACTCCTGCGAGAGTGATGAAAAAAACACAGAAGAGTGAAATGGATGTCTGGAATCCTGAAGAGGATCACTGCACACTGCAACATTCTGTTACAGTGCCGACTCATAAAATACTAACCTAATTTCAGTACCATTCAAGATTCAAAGTACTAATTAAAAGGAGTCCGGTTCAACAAAGGAACTCTGCTGTTGCAATAGTTTTTAATCTAAAAGTTTGCAGTCTCTCTGCCTTCTGGGAACATTGTTCCCATTGACTTATCGGCTGAAGAACCCCAGTCTTCTGCCAGTAAAACTTTGCACATTGAAGAAGATGCAGGGACAATTTGTGGGACAGGAGTGTTGAAACTTTGGCCTTCCAGATATTTTGAACTCCCAGCACCAGCAACCAGCATGGCTGATCCTAAGATTATGGGTGTTGAAGTCCAAACAGTTGCAGATTCCCCACTCTGTCAGGAGTAGGGAGACTGATTAGGTTGCTTTTTATACTGTGAGATAATGACCATGGAACACAAGCTCATCATTTTCAAAGGATGATGGAGGCATGGTGGTCCTTGGTGGATTGAGCAGTGATACACAGGGGAAGGATTACCTTTCACTTGAACTTTCTTCCTTGAAATTGCAAGGAGGAACATGTAATACAGGTATAATACAGCGGATCAGCAAAGGTTTGAACCAAACTAATACCTTCTTAGGGAGGGACGTGGTGGCGCTGTGGGCTAAACCGCAGAAGCCTGTGATGCAGGGTCAGAAGACCAAGCAGTCGTCAGATCAAATCCATGTGACGGAGTGAGCTCCCGTCACTTCTCCCAGCTCCCGCCAACCTAGCGGTTCAAAAGCATGCAAATGCAAGTAGATTAATAGGGACCACCTCAGTGGGAAAGTAACCACATTCTGTGTCTAAGTCGCACTGGCCATGGGACCACGGAAGATTGTCTTCGGACAAAACGCTGGCTCTATGGCTTGGAAATGGGGATGAGCACCGCCCCCCAGAGTCGGACACGACTGGACAAAAATTGTCAAGGGGAACCTTTACCTAATACCTTTTTAACATGCTATAGGTATCAATAGGCTCTTCAGAGGTCACCAGAATGGTTTTGTTGTATCTTTTGGAGGTTCAGCTACAACATACACTGAATTGTAATTGGGAAAGAGGAGGAAATTTGCTTTGTTATGTATCCCCACCATTGAAGACAGTGGTTTGGAAATAGTTTACAAGTTATTGTAACAATTAGCCAGCTTGATTCATTGACCTTGCTCAGATGGAGCTGGCTAATGTATTGTACTGCCTGGCAGCTCAATTAAGTTTGGTTAAGACATAAATATAGGTATGACAAATGCATATCTGATAATTAGAAAATTTTGTACCTATAATGTACTCTACAATGTTTTTGTATTGCAGGACCCAGGAATTCTGGGTTTTCAAATGTTTGATGTACCAGGAGTATGTTTGTACAGGTTCTGCAAAAAGTATTGGTCAAAACAAAAATTGTTAACAGCATAATGACAGCTCACTAGATTGTAGATGAATCTTAAAGTTATAATATACGCACCAACAATACAATTCCCTATTGAAAAATGTTTTCTGGATTTTTAAGCATTTGGGCTTCCAAGACCTGCAGATAAGGCTTGTTCATAGTTAGGAGGAAAGAAAAACAACTGAAAAAAATTAATAAATTTAAGGTGACAAGAGACACACAGACATTAGGAGATCCATTCATCACATCATGGCAACTTCATCCACTTTGAGCACCAGACATCAAGTAACAAACATCATCACAGATTTATCTCCGTAGATACAAACTTGATACAAGACTGGTTTGGCTGAGTGGGCACTTGAGAGTAATTTTGTGTGTCTCCTTAATATGCTTCAAGTTATAATACTTTTTTATTTTATATAGTTTCGCTTTTAAGAACTGCAATATTTTAAGAGTTATATTTTCTGTCTTTTGCTGTTTAAATGTGTCTTTTTAGGCTATAAGCTATTGAATTTTTAGAATGTACAGTGGCGCCCCGCTTAGTGATGTTAATTCATTCTGAAAAATCGCTAAGCGATTTCATCGCTAAGCGAAATGCGGTTTCCCATTGAAATGCATTGAAAACCGGATAATCCGTTCCAATAGGAACGAATTGCCATCCTTAAGCGAAAATCGCCATAGGAAACATCGCTAAGCGAAACGCAGTTCCCCAATTGAAATGCATTGAAACCTATTCAATGCATCTCAATGGGGGAAAAATACAACAACAAATTTAAAAAGTCAGAACAAAGTCAAATTTGGTTAACAGAGGGTTTATTAAGTGCACTTTATTATTTCAAACATTTTAAGCAGTAAACTTTAACTTTATAAATAACAGAAAAACGTTTAAAAAACAGCAAACATGAGGCTGTTTAAACCATCGTTAAGCGAAACAGGGGACCCAAAATTTAATTGCTATGCAAATCATGGTCTCAACCATCGCTAAGCGAAAATCGCCCATAGGGACCATTGCTAAACGAAGCGCAAAAAACACTCCGAAAACATTGTCGCTAAGCGATTTTGTCGCTAAATGGAGCACCTGTTAAGCGTGGCACCACTGTAATTTAAAACATTATCTTTTATATTTTATTGTACTGTTTATTGTGCTTTGGATTGAATTCTGACTAAACGAAGCGCAAAAAACACTCCGAAAACATTGTCGCTAAGCGATTTTGTCGCTAAATGGAGCACCTGTTA